TCGCAAAGTATAAACCCAGCCTTATTGATCAGTGATTTAGGAAGAAAATAACTAGCTATGAAAGTTGCGGGTGGGCTCACTCGATCTTCCTTGAAGCTGCCCCGACTGATTGTTGCATTACCAACCGTTCTTACTTCTGATATTTTTATAACCTTTACGGGACTTATGCACGTTTTTTGCACACAACCTTGCTAGCAGGGTGTCTAGACCTACGCATTCCCCTCAGCAGGGATAGCTTCCCGTAGGCCATAGATTCCGCTTAACCATTTCCTTTTATTTCTTGAACAAATATCATCAGCAAAGAAAATCGTACGCGAGTACCACGAGCTATCACCACGACATGCAGGTCCACCTTTTACCTCTCTGTAGTGCACCCTACCCGTTTGGCTACGAAAAGATCTCCAGATAAACTCCAGAATGGATTAAAGTGACTTTCCATGGATTTTGGTCATCAGAGGATAATGTGTGTTATAGCATTACCGCTGTTCAAAACGGAATGTGCATCAACAGCTTCTGAACTCACCATTCAATGTACAGTAGTGAGCGAGAGGAGGAGCATACTGAGCGATGCATTTTGGCATCGCGAAACACTGCGATCGACTAACGAAGAGCGACCTGCCGTAGTCGACCAGGTACACCTGAAACAATTGGCCGAACGTCAGTTCCTGCGAGATTCACAAGGCAGATTCCTTTACAAACAACTTCGCAGCCTTCTCAGCTATTATGATTTTCACAGCAGCTCCCAAAGCAATGAGTTAAGCTCTACAGTCCTATGGACTTCTTTATTATTTTCGTTGGAGGCATATTCCGCGAGAATCCAGTGAGTTGTGACTCCCAAAAATGAAAGCTTTAAGGGGTTATTGAGTGCTCCTTCAAAATGTTTTTTTTTGTTGTCTGGGGTTTCATATAAAGACGACAAAAGTGAAATTCATTTTCGTTGTGCGCTCCCAGCACAAAGTCCTGGCATAGAAAGTGACAGTAGAATTTCCATGGCATGCTACTCTTCCAGAAGCATCGTTTTTCGCTAGAAGCAAGACAGGGTCTGAAGGCGATGTCATTGAAAGGAGACGGTGTCACTGGAGCAATCTAGCTCTGGAGCCATGTAGCGCCTTAACCTACACCTTACAACTTCCCGCTGCGAAACTGGTTCATTGTTGTTCACTACGGATCACGCTACCCTTCCTGCGAGACCTTCTACATTTCACAGGTCACAGCTAACCGTTTTTAGCGCCCTCGTTGGCAACGTAGTGATCAGTGTGAAGATCATCGCCCACTTACAAAATAGTGTTAGGGGAGGGTGTCATGAACCTGAAAATTTTTTATTTAGCTGTCAACTTCAGAAACTTACCTGCACTTCATGAGCGCCTCCGTGTCCGATTGTGGCTCTGGCGAGACTATCCTCAAAACGAACCAGACAAGCGTGGTCTGTGCGACATTGCGAGTCCAAAAGTGGGTGACGGCAGAGCTTCTCATCGCAGAACGACAGAATCCGTTCGATTTCGCGAAGAACACTGCAAGAGCGCATCAATCGCGTGAGGCTCACACCTTGCTTTTAGCCGCCATGCTATTTCTGGTAAAGTGCAACGAAAGCAGCCTAAAGGCCTCAGTTTGGACTGTCACGGAGTCAAGAGCTCAAAAATCGTTCTTTTAGATAATGGGACAAGAGTTACACTGAAACCTTAAATCAGCTACTCAGGTATATGAAGCAGTCCCCAGAGGAAAGGCGACTTTATTTGCAGGTGTTTTTTGTGAGGTGTGGAGCGTTTCGCAGTCAAGGCGAAACAAGCGTTACGAGCGGGATAGCATCCACAGCATCCGCACCAGAACCACCACTAATGCAATGGCAGCGGCGCTGTGCATCGACTCTATCTCTCAAGTAAACTCGCACTGCGATGTCGCCACTGGAATGTAGCATCCCTTCACTGCTTTTGTGACTCACT